CATGGAATGATCTGCGATTCCATAGTTTGGATAGACTGATCATACACTCCTAAATAGAAATGAAAAGTGATCATTTCATGACATGTCAAGGACGACACAGAGTGCAAGGGTCCCCCCTTGCATTTTGTCCCGTCCTTTGGAGATTAAGCGCCCTGACATTTGGGCATCTCATTTTGGATTGCTTGAACGGGATATTACGCGATTGTTCGGAGAAACAGAACATTTCCAGAATACAACACCGATAACAAAGTTAAAAAGTAAGGTCCAGACATCTTCCTCCAGCAAGTGACCTATACCACCAGAAAGCTGAAAATTTCTTCTATTAGAATATGCAATCAGCTAAGAATAAAAAAGTGTCTGCCAGAGATTTAGGCGCCCTGACATTTGGGCATCTCATTTTGGATTGCTATTATTTTGAACGGGATAATTATGACGCGATTGTTCGGAAAACCAAACATTTTCAGAATATAGAGCCGATATCAAAGTGAAACAGTAAGGTCCAGACATCTTCCTCCGGCAAGTGATCTATACCACGAGAAAGGTGAAAATCTCTTCTTTTAGAATATTTAATGAGCTAAGAATAAAAAATGTCGGCCAACAAATTAGGCGACTTGAAATTTAGACATCTAATTTTGGATTGCTGTTTGAACAGTAAGATATCCTCCTTGGCCGGGAACTAACAAGGAATGAATGGAAGGGATATAAGCTGAGGGAAATAGGATAGTAAAATGAGAGAGAAAAATAATAAGAGGGGGGGGGGGGTGAGAGAAAATGAAATTAAGAATGAAGGGAGAGAGAGAAAGAGGTAGACTGACTAACAATTTGGGACTTATTTATTGTTCGCAAAATGGTCATGGTTTAAAAGTCGTTTTTCACCGCTTTCGTGTCAATTTTTCTTATATTTTTTGTTTAAAGGTAAAGACCAGTATTGGAAACGCCCCAATTTCAAAAAATGAAATGGAAGCTCTCATTACCAATCATGTGAAAGAATATGTTTTGACTAATACATAATGATAACAAATTTGCCGGGAAACCGCCTATATTTGGTAAATTTGTTTCTCTCATGGTCTGTGAGAGATATAGGGTAGTCCCATATACATCTTTCTGTGTATAGTGCTTGTAACTTTACGAAGAATGGGCCAAATTTCTTATCATTTTGATGATTCCAGAACCTTGCAGATGCTAGATGCTAGATGATCAACCTTTTCTGATCGATTCCACAACGTTTCTTTCACAATGCAATCGCATGACCATAACTGGTCTTTACCTTTAATAAGACGGAAGACATTATAATAAAAACTTTCTCATAGGTTTTACGACAACCCTACATCAGTACACCCGACTGTGACCTGTACTTATAGCGAAGAAGGAGATGAACCATTTGTAATATCCTCCTTGGAAGAACCCACTGCACAATACCGACGGTGTAATGCGGGCGTGCACGTGTGTGAAGTTAGCGACTGTAATATCAGCTAGATCCTCATTACAGTCGTGTACAAGTAAGTAATTCATCATTACGGTCGCTAACTTCACGCCCCGCGCGCCCCCGCACCCTACTGTCGACAGACTATGCGTGTACCAGTGTCCTTTTCCATCTGATGAGTACCTCTTAGAACTTCATTTACTGTATACCGGTTTGAAGACACCATAGCGGACAATTCTATTGTTATCATGCCGTCACGGTTCGATGCAAACGAGTGGTCGCTTAGTTGTGGTCGCTAGAAGTAGTCCAATGCGAATAAAAGTGCGCCATCTACCGTACCGGTGTATATCAAGCCATATCATCGAAACTGATTGATTGATTGATTGATTTGTAATCGCTAAGACTCAACCAGGCGCTGATCCAGGGGGGCCGAGGGGGCCTTGGCCAAACAAAAAAAAAAAAAAAAAAAAGGAAGAGAAAGAGAGAGAGAAAAAAGGAAAAGAAGTCAACAACAACGATATATGAGACTAGGCTCTTCAATGGACACTTACAAATTTAGTTATTTCCCAAGGACACTTAAGGACTGGGACGAGCTACCTCAAACCATCATAGAACTGCCTTCTTTGGAGCGGTTCAAGGTGGCTCTTGAAACAATTTAGTTCCCTTTTCAGGAACTGTACTGCATAGAGCTGTATAAAACAACTCTATGCTTTACCCTCATCTAGATGCTGAACAGGCGTTGATGAGTATCACCATAGAAGTAGAAGTACAAGGCAAAGGGAAAGAGGAGAGAAATGGAAAGAAAGGAGAGGAGGAAGAAAAGAAAAGGGGGAGAAGAAGGAGATGCGGGTGGGGGTACGTGGGTGAAAAGGCCTTGCCTCCCATGCTGTTGCCTCCACCCCTCCCCCCCCCCCAAAAAAAAAAGAGAAGGAAGGAAAGGGAAGAAAAAATAAAAGAGGAGATAAAGGGAGGGAAAAAAGAGGAAAAAGAAAAGAAAGAAAAGAAGGGGAATATCAGAGGCGATTTTCCCGCCAACACCAACAAGTTGTAGATGGGGGGGGGGGGGCAAAAGGCCCTTTCCTCTACCTACCCCCCCCCCCCGCCGCCCCCCAAAAAGAGAGAAGGAATGGAAAGGGAAAGAGGAGAGCTAAAAGGAAAAAAAAGAGGAAAAAGAAAAGTAAAGGGTGAAAAGAAGGGAAGATCAGTTGCGATTAATCCCGCCAACAGCGTGTGGATTGGGGGGGGGGGGGAGACCCTCTTCTTCTTCTTTGGGTCTACCTTCTTCACAGTTGAAGATTCTTGCAGACTGATGAGTGTGGGGGGGGGGGTTAGGGTTGTTTTAGGGGGGTTTACACACATAAAAATACCAAGGAGGGGGGGGGGGGGTAACCCCCAACTCCCCCCCCCTCCCTGCGTACGCGCCTGTGTACAAATGTATTATTTTATTCCTGCTTGATAACAATAATATTTAAATATAAACTCATAACAGCAACAAAACAGAATGCAGAAGAGAACCATTTTGAAGGCAGAAAGAAACGTAAAATGTTCATGCATTTGCATGTAAGTGTATCATTAGAATTATTCATATTGTTTTATTCACCCAAATAAATAAATAAAAATTGCAAATGTGGCTTATTTCTAATTCGGGGCTCGAGGACCCCCCCCCCCCCCACACACACACACACGCACTCACCCACACACACTTTTTTTGAAAAAAGTAGGACTATATTGACGAGCAATAGAAAGAAATAGAGAAAAGAATAGTGACCCGCCGGTGTCACACAATGATGAGGTATCAAAATATGCTCATCTGACCGGCGTGATTAAATTACTAAAACCCGTGAGCTTCCGGGGGCTCTGCCCCCAGGATTCCACCTAGAGCCCTAAGGCTCTGCCCCCTGGACCCCACGCTAATTAGTGTCCTGCCTGTGTCACAAATAAGTTATCAAAATTTGCTCAACTGACCGTAATTAAATGCCTAAAACCCGTGAGCTTCCGGGGGCTCCGCTCACTCGATCCCAGACCAGAGGCCCTAAAGCGATAAAATTAAGTCAGCTTGAACAGGATAACCCACGAAAGCTTGAGAGCTTGTTTCTAGTGGGGTCCCCGACAAACACGTACAAAATTAGTAAGTTAAAATCGTATTATTTAAAGACAAAATTATTAGGCCTAAAGATAATAATGATGATAATAATAACAACATTAAATTGATAAAGAAAGAAATGATAATAAGTACAAGAAGAAAAATAGATAAAGAAACGAAGAAGAAGAAGAAAAGAAAGAGGAGGACTCTGGAGGAGGAAGAAGAGGAAAATAATGATGGATATGTTGAATGTCTGTAACGTACAAAAACATAAGTATATAAAAATTAAAAAGTATGAACCGGCAGAAAAAAGTTCAATGTACTTTTTTTAAATGGACTTGAATAAAATAAAATTGAATTGAATTAAATTGAATCAACAAGAACACCACCGCCTTCCCCAACGCTTGAGATGGTGGTGGTGTCGTTACAATGCCATCATCACTACTTTACCACTTTTCTACTACTCTCCTTGCTCATTCCACCATAGGCATTATGATCATCACTATTCCGAACGAAAAAACGACACCCGTTTTGTCTGAGATTACAGCTCGTCTTGTATGCCTCATTTAATTGTGTTAGTCATCGTGTTATGTGTACTGGTAATGTTGTAAGAACATGGGCTATAGTCAGATCAGTAGTCAGCTAATACTGATGTTCCTTGATAGGATACATGTAGACCAGGCCCAGAGTAAAGTAAGGTGGTAATTTGCTTTATATAAACACATCAACAATACTTAACCCAAGATGAATAAGATGAATGGAGAACACAAAATATTATCACTTAACATAATTAACTACATATAATTACACATAATTATTTACATAACCCCCCCCCCCCCCCCACCCCCAATTAGCTAAATGTCGGTCGGCGCGATTTCCAAATTTGCAAACACCCTCTTGAATAAATCCTGCGTACGCCACTGGTTATGTGGGTTATGTAATATTTTTACTTTCCCTGCGACCGTCAAGATATGCAAGCTATATCATTTGTCATGTCACTTATTTATCGTGTTGCGAGATTTTTGGTATATGAGATATAATTCTAATACCGACAGATGGCGTCTGTCTATTTCACGAACGAAAAAAACACAAATATCTCCTATACTGAGAGCAGTAATGCGTAAATACAATATAATCAAACGTACAATGAAACAAGATATGCGGTGCATAGACCGTTAACCCTTCTTCACTCAACCCGACTTTTGTTTTGTGTGTGGAGTTACAATTTTATGAGAACTGACTCATAATAAATGAAATGGTTTGTTTTATTAAAAGGGAGTTACAATTTTATGAGAACTGACTCATAATAAATGAAATGGTTTGTTTTATTAAAAGGGACACGACTGTAGGAGAACTATTAGTAATACACGTTTCGAACGCACAGTAGATACGATTGTATGAATATAGGTTATGCTTGTATACTAAATAGTCATATATCCCTTCTCAGTCACGGTCATTCCATATTTTCAAGAAACTGTCTACGGCTTGATAGCATAGTTAAGCAGATGTCAATATACAAGTCTTTCATACTTCTTAAAATGGCTTTGTGATTAACCGATTATATTTACACCTCGCCGCTAAAATCAAAAGGCATCGCTTCTTTACCAGTCCATCTGTTTGCTTTTAAAGTCCATGCGTTTGTTTCCAATCCATTTATTAGCTTTTAACACTTTATCCTGATTTGAAAAGCAAGACAGCTGTCTGCCCCAAGTAGAAATAGATGAAGTTCTTCGTCTCGTGTGTCACGTAGCTGCCGAAGTTGCGGCCGACGATGCAATGCCAGGCAGGACTGTGCACCTTGTCGAATTCCTTCTTGATGTAGGCGGCGACATCCTTCTCCATCTGGTATTTCCCGAAGGCGATGGCGGCAACATCGGTCGCGGAATTCTGCATGTCTTTGTCCATGTCGGCGTTCTTGATGACGGCTTTGTCGCCGGTTAGATGGGTACGATTCGAGATCGACATCGTGATGGAGAGCGGAATCGAAGTGAAAGATCACGAGAAGAGGAAAATCCCAATTTGCACTCTTTCTGAAAAAATTAGAAGTGAAAGGACTGTCTGTTAATATCATAAACATACGCTGGGTATTCTGAATGGGTTTTTTTTAAATAAAAAATAACTATGTTTGGTAAAGAAAATAATATAATTGTTTGTTTTATAGGTTAAAATGGTTTAAACGGTTTTCCTGGTGACTATTTGAATGTGCGCTCCATCTCAAACAATAACAAGAATGTGGACTTTTGTAAACACACATTAGGGGGTTGATTCCCGAATGTAAACATTGTACTTCATAATTACGTTGACACTTATTCTCATTTGATGCACATGCACATGTTCAAATGTAATTAACGTTACAAAGTATGCCTTTTCATTCATGACATTAGGCCATTCCTAGCGAATCATATTTCTTTTTATGACACAAAGGAATCGGTTATTTTAATTGCAGTGGCCTTGTTAGCTATTTATCTGAAGCTTGTAAACATGACAAATCAAACTACATTATCCTGGTGAAAATGTATTATCTATGTATTATCTCGGTGAATCTGTGACCTGATTTTGTAATGAAAAACATTTTGTTCATTTTCTATCAAAAGAGAAGGACTTATTCAGCCATATAACTTCAACATGAAAGGAAACGAAATGAACAGTTCTTGATTTGCAAACAAAGTAGTAATCTTCTTTTTTACTCCTGACCCATTTGAGCGACGCAAAGCTATTACAAAGTTTAATTCACGAAAATCACCTTCAACGTTAAAATGGGATAATACAGGGGGAAACCATAAATACATAAATACATATCGGTCGACCCTTTGCCCCTTCGATAACAAAATGAAGGGTATTGACATGTGAACTTTGCTACGCTTTCCTCACTCCCCATCATCACAAAAGACATCTTTGATAAAGATTTAGAAAATAGACAACCCTTTTCTTCTTTTCAGTAGAATCATGAAAGGAAATCAAAGAAAGTATGTCAATATGTTTTGTATCTCACCTTCAATATTTGAAGTAGCTCTTCAGATTTGACCCAGCTTCTTTCTATTTTGATTTGTTTTGATTAATATGCCGAGATGGTCCCCTCACTCTCTATCCGAATGGCGACTATGACAAAGTGATCAAACTCCTATAAAATCGCGAATAGTGTTTTGATAAAGAAGTGCATATTTGTCATTATTGTTTGCTTTTGACTCATAAAAACCTGTCGACAAACAATTCAACAGGTCAATGATATTTCCTTCATAAACTTCATCTTCAATCCTTTTCATTGTTTGATTAATACCCTTGAGCCTCAACTCAAACTCCCAAACTCAGTAGCTTTTAACAGTAGCTTATAACACATTCACTGATTTCATAAAAGATATTGACATTGGAATTCCTAGCATTATTCCCACACCCACGGATTAAGGGAAGATGAATAGAAAAGCCACTTTTTTCTACTTTTCTGCCAGAATTTCAATATTTATTCTGTTACGGCCTTTTTGGTGACATGTAAGGGTTTTAGAAGTGGGTGCGCTGCATTGGCATGCATGATTGATAGTTCCTGTCTTTGTTGAATTATCTAAGAACATTTTCAATCAGGTCTGACGAGGAATAATAAGAATAGTAATATATTGTGCTCATGCTTGCGAAAATTTGTGTAAGAATTTTATTTCTACCATTAGGTTAAAGGTACTATGCAGTGGCGGATCCCCCTTGAGAAAAAATAATGTAAAAACACGTGATTTTTACCTTTTGGGGGGGGGGGGTTGGGCCCCTCCCCTAAGAAATCCTGGATCCGCACCTGGTACTACGTCCCATTTGCAGGCCCAAAAAATGAAAAGGTTAAATTCCAACGGCATTTGAATGATAATACTACTTTAGAACTTCCCTATAAAAGGTGGGGCTTGAAAATGTCTTCAAGTGGGAAAATAACGAATAATAGTTGTCAAATCGACTTAGGAAAAGTTAGGAGCTATAGAGCCAATAAGTAATAGTCTTGATTTTTATACCATTGTACCGAATGGTCATATGTTTTATGCTGCGCAAAGATTCAATCAATTTAATTTTAGCCATCATCTTTTTTTATCTTTTGTCGACAAACCTTGGTTTGTCGACAAGCCTCCTTTGTGAATTCGGGCCAATATGTCTGACAGTGAAGTGTAGCAAGTAAACGGGTTTCCTTGCATAATTTGAATATTAGGACACTGCTAACGTTTAAATTTCACAGAAAGGACATACATGACATATTCATAATTCCTGCAAAATTCTACAGAATTTGAGATCTGCAAAAAGGACATAGTACCTTTAATGAGATACAATATCGGAGGGGGGGGGGGGCGACGACGATTTCTGGAAGGTTCTGGCCTAGTTCAATAGAGGTCCATTTTTTCAGGTTTCATGAGACCAAACTTTTACGAGACCCATATACCCAGACACTCTTAAAAACTAGTTTAAAATATAACACAAAAACAAAAAATTGAAAAATGTCTTCAGTCCTGTTTCATGCATGATGAAAGTGAACATTAAACTATACAAGCATACCGATAGCAATTAAGAGAAGTGTAATTGGCATATTTAATTTCTAATAAACTGAATTTTAACAGTATGTGATAACTTATGAATGTCATCATTTCAACATCAGTGTGACGAGATAGAGAGTAATATAGCCACAAAGAGACAATAAGAGTGAGAGTTAGACTGAAGAAGGGAACGAAAAAACGATGAAGAGAGAGAGAGAGAGAAAGAAAGAGAGAGAGAGAAGAAAAATAAAAGAGAGACACAGAGAGAGACCTTCAAGTTAGAGACAGAGAGAGAGAGAGTGACATATATACATGACTATGTATATACATTTTTCTGTAGGTCTATATAAATATATATATATATAAAGAGAGAGAGAGAGAGAGAGAGAGAGAGAGAGAGAGAGAGAGAGACCACGTTGTCTAATATAAATAATAGGTGTGAGGATCTTCATTCTAACAGTGTCTGATCAATTCATGGACTGTTGATCGTGCCGGGTGAAAATATTTAATAAAGAGTAAATAGGATTGCAACACTCTACTGTCTTGTTTGCTGCTCGAGAACCGTGTACGAGTAAATGCATTTATCTCTATTATGATTTTTTTTCGGGGTCACACGTATTTCATAAGGCCTAAACAAAAAAGTAGTAACACCTGCTATTGGGCAAAAACGCCCACATGGTTTCAACTTACTATAAACCACTACTATATGCCTCTATGAGGTATAACTCATGTAAGCCGTAAGTCTTTTTTATTCTAATTTATGCTAGCAGATATTCAACTTACATCGTACTTTCACTCTAACTAATATATTCATTACACCACGTTTCTTCTTGTCCGATAAAAGCAGGTACTATCACCAGCAATGAAGTCCTCAGAAATATTGTTTTTAATAAACAGTCTCATCATGACCTTTTTAAAGTGATTGTCATGTTATATTTTATTGAAATGAATCACAATATATTCGTTGATATCTCTCTCTAAAAAGAAAAGAAAAAATTCTCGGCCGTGAGTTGGAAGAGGGAATCATTGATATTCTTTTCCGGTTGCTTAGAGATAGGGAAAAGGCTGGTGATCCTTTGTTCTTTCACCTGTTCGTAAAATATCTTTCAACGATTTGTATTATAATGCAGGTTTATCTTTTCTCATATTATATTTCAGACAGTGGTGTGTTTTTTTTACAATTTTGAATCCGAAAGTCTGAAGACAAAAATATAATATATCAACGTTATGATTCTATAATTGTTTGCAAAAATCAATTGTGTGTATGTTGTATTAAATCATGGTCTAAATATTCAATTCATGGGCGTCACAGAGGCGTTAAGTTGCCATGGCGACTTTGACACGTAAGTTGTTACCAAATAAAATAACAGCGAATTGTGAGTACCCACTATATGCCTAGGTGTAGACGGGAAGATAATTCACAGAAATGAGTGGGAGTAAGAGTGGGAGTGAGAGAAATAGAGAGAGAGCGAGACAGAGAGAGGGACAGAGAGAGAGAGAGAGAGAGAGAGAGAGAGAGAGAGAGAGATAGTGAGGGTGAGGGGGGGGGGGGGGGGAGAAGGGATAAAGGGAAGTATGAAGAAAGAAAGTGAGAATGAGAGCCATTTGTTTTAAGGCAAAGACGTGATTTTTTTCTCGTTTTGTACATCATCGTTTCATAAACTAAATCTAAAAGCATTCCTAATATGTTTTGAGTTCGTAGAGTATGGATAATATAATTATGTATGATTTAAACGGTTGATTATGCATCTGTAAATATAAACCCATTGTCTACTGGAACCGGATGATTCCTGTATAGAGCCTATGGGAATGCGAGAATCCAGTTGTCAACGGGTTAATTATTGAATGGAACTTAATTGAATCGAATCAAAGTAGTAATCATGTCGGCTTTATGCTCGAGAAGCTTTGCTGTTACAGAGGTTAACATTGTTTCGAGAGCAAAGAACTATTATCAGCATTTGCAAATGCGATTCTTATTTATGTTGCTCGTGATGAACTCTATTTCAATCTCCATGTTATCTTTTGTTATCATTAAGGTAATGAACAATAATTCAAAGATTCACAGAAATATAATCTTTTTATGAATTAAAAGTATCAGTTTATTTCAATATGTTTTTAAGAAGACAAAAGTCATAATACAATTTGTTTATGAATAATACAGATTTTGTTAATACAATCATCGCATAAAGCTATATAAGGCTATGGAAATAAAATGTCAAATGTATGAACAATCCATTTCAGCTGTAATTATTCTTACTGTCAAAACCCGATTGCATTATTACGACCTAAGAGGTCACTTTTTTTTCTTTTTTTTTGTCTCGAAATTTGAAAATTTTACATTTTGCTCCGTTGGGGGGGGGGGGGGGGGGGGGGTAAGGTCACCTTTTTTAGGTCAGCCATGGGATTTTTTTTTCTTCTTAAATAAATAAAATAATAATAAAAAAAAATATCCAAGGGGGGGGGGGGGGGGGGTTTACACACAGAAAAATAACAAAGGGGGGGGGGGGGGTTAACCCCCCCCCCCCCCCTGTGTACGCGCCTGATTATAAGTCCTTGAATTTCCTACGTGAAAATTCATTATTTCTTACTCCAACCAATGATTATGAAATTATAATGTAGTTCAACACCTTAATTCTACAAAATCTAGTGGCCATAATAGTATAAGTGTTCACTTATTGAAACAAATAATCTTTATTATATACCTCACTTAAGTAATCCAGCAATCTGATTGGTCGAAATTGCATTCATAAACTTTAACTGTTCCCGAAAATTCGCAGTAACCATGGTTAAAACAGTTCTAAAATCCCAATAGCCATGGTTGGGAAATTGGGAAAATAGGTCAGTCTCCATGGTTACCCCATAGGAATAAACTTGTAACCTACGCGTACAAGACAGTAAAAAGCAGGATAACGGATTACAGCACCAAGTTTATACATCTTAATTTAGAAAAGGATATACTTTGATCAAAACAAAAATGAAGAGAGCGACGTTCCACCATCTCATGTGTGATGATATATGATTATACTTGATGCGTACGAAATATAACATCAATTATAATGCTTTACTGTTTGAAGAGATGTTACATATATCAGCATTTAAGAAAAATGTGCATCTTGGTATAGCCTGAATCCGCAAGAGTTTTTAATGTTATTAATTCAGGAAGTTCACACTCTCGTGGCTTGTAGCACAACGATTTATCCAGACTTGAAAAGTAAGATGGCGACTTGTCCTAGGTAGAAGTAGATGAAATGCTTGGTCTCGTGCGTCACGTAGCTGCCGAAGTTGCGGCCGACGATGCAATGCCAGGTAGGATTGTGTTTTTTGTCGAACTCCTTCTTGATGTGGGCGGCGATGTCCTTCTCGATGTTGAACTTCTCCATCGACTGGTTGGCGCATTCGATTGCGTCCCGCTGCATTTCATCTGTCATGTCAGCGTTCTTGATCACGGCTTTGCGTTCAGACATGATGACAGGTTTATGAGTCTCTGTGCAGGAGAAAAGGTAGAAATAAACTTAATTTCAATATACTGAAAATAATACTATAATATTCCGCTTTTATATATAGCACTTAATACAAATGTCTGTAAGCGCTTTACAGATATACTATTAGCCCGGTCATTGGATTCAATACTTGCCCGCACACACTGTGTGCGCAGTCTCCACTCCTTGGGGAGCTTTTCAGCCAGGCGTTACTTGACGCTCAAAAACTGTTTGACCAACAATGACGGTCGCATCCTACCGGGTACCCATTTACACCTGGGTGGAGAGTAGCAAGTACATGTTAATATCTTGCCAAAGGATATTAGTGCCGTGTCGGGATTGGAACCCTCGACCTTCGCATCTCCAGTCAAGCGCCTTAAACCACTCGGCCAAGACACTCCCATACAGTGGCCACGACATGGTCAATGTTATACTTATCTAATGGGCAGGGGGCACATGCCCCGGGCGGCACTTGAATAGGCGCAAACAACGCAAAACAGCGAGAGGGGCACAAAAAAAAATGCAAAAGAAATACAAACACACAAAAAGGGGAAGGAACAAACATAAAATCATTAACCATATTTATCAAAATTCGCAGGGAAAAGCGCATTAAAGAATAGAGTTTATATGGGCTTAAAACGCATTAAAAAAAAAAAATTGCTTGCTTTGTTCCCTCGCATACGGTGACCAAACACTAATATCGGTAAAGTACAGTGCCGCTTGAGGAAGGATAAGGAGTGGTATGGAGGCATACCTGCAAAACATGTACACAGGAAGGCCCAAGACCAAGTATCTAAATCACGGGCCTAACGAAAGCTTTCAGAGTTGTCCAAAAAGGGGCGTTGACGCGAAAACGTGTGCAGAAGTATTTAATATTGCGGTTCCTATAGAAAATGAAATTTCTCGCACTACAACCCCTACAAATTTAATGTACCCCCTGGAAAATGCACACTTCCAAGAGCAACCTTATTCCCATTCGAGCTTGTCAATTTAGGGTAAATATAGGGGGTTACTTTTGGTTAGTTTTCCGAGGGATACATGTCCTAATACGCAATCTCATAACTATATCGACATACAGATAATTCAGAATTATTTAAAGTTATAGGTCGAATGATAATTATAATAAAAAAAACGGTGCTTACAAAGCGCTTACCACCGACGTCTCTAAGCGCTATAACAAACAAAATACAATGATAAACAATTACATATCAAACAAAACAAAAAATTACAAATAAACCTACAAATTACGATACATATGAAATATACATCATTATCATCAAAAGCAACTTTGAATAAATGTGTCTTAAGAAAAGCTTTGAATTGGTTGACAGTCTGACAGTTTTTGACATGTAAAGGTAGTTTGTTCCAAAGTTCAGCTTACCAGATTGTACAAAGTCGAAGTTAATGGCAATTGTGCATGAATCTAGCTTGTTCGTCCCTCCTCTAACTGTGGCAAAGTCTCACAATGAGGAAATATTACCAAAATGAGGAATTATAGACGCCTCATGAGTTTCCAATTGGGCTTCTCAATATTTATTCAATTGTTAGCCATCATAAATTTATCTGAAGAAAAAGAACAGAGCAGACCACAAGGAAAGAGAGAAAGAGGGGGAATGAAATCTATTCACTATTGTTGACACAGTTCTGATTATGTTTATTGAAAATATTTTGGAGGAAAAATACCATATTGTGAATTTAGGCGTACGTCATTGGACGGTTTCTCACGTCAACAGTAGCTTTTCACTATGGCTTGTAACACTAGCTGTGAGGCTAGAGTATTATATCACCATGTCATATAAAGCCCACCCGGTGTAAAGTTTAATTTTGAGGAAGAAAAAAGTGTGTCCAGGAATTATAGGGTCAATAAATGTTGTGTTGTACAGATTCTACATAGGCGTATTATTTACTTTTAAATGTAGAAAGTGATATATTTTCTTTATCAGTGCGATAGCGAGGAAATAGTCTAATAATTGAAACAAATCATATTGGTACATTCAAATTGCAACTAATCATTATGTTCATAGATTTTGTTTAAATATTAATAACAATGCAGTGAACATTTCTAATGCCCGATGTGTGTCAAGATTGACACTCCTGGTACAATTGTGACAAATAAAGTATACTAATTGTGGCATACAGCTATAGGCCTAAAGAAATTCAAGAACAATAGCCAAGCAAAAATAAGCCGGTTATTTATTTTTCACCTTTTCCGTCATTGAAATTTTGTTTTGTTATTGAACTAAACAAGCCTTTCCAATTAAAGCTTGGTGCAGATACATTATTGTACAAGTTCGCCGGATACGTCTCATTATCAAGAAAAATGGCTGCGCCCATGCCAAGAATAACTTCATTTATATGTAGTACACTTTCTTGAGGAATATTGTACATCTAAATTTATTATAGGTAATATCTAGCTAATATCCCATTCTCACTGGGGGTAAGGTACATAGTTTTCACGCAAAAACGAATCATCAAGTCAATTACGACAAAATTGTCCCTCCCTGGTTCGTCCGTTTGGTACGGAAGGTACGCCCTGTTAGGAAAACAATGATACATGAAACAAAAATTGAAAAAAAAGAACTATAAAGCTAACGGAAAAAATTCTGGCAAAAGAAGGGAACAATACGCGTAACCGATGTGTAATGGGCGTACAACTGGTGATAACATTTGGCGGATATACTCGTCTAGAACGTATAGTTTCAACTTCGCTTGCGTCAAACAAAGACCCAAATGTCTTTCAATTTGAAAAGGGTCACATCGTGTGACCACGCCTATTTAAAATTATATATTACATATCATAACTTTCTTGACATTGCTTTCAATGATTTCTCAGAAAACAAATTAGGAAAATCGCATTGCGTGATTGGTAATGTTGGGAAGGAGAATGCTTTTTTGTGATTCTTGGAAGAGAGAAAAAACACCAGAAAATTCATGCCATACGACTTTTAGTACCAATTGCAATTCGTTTATATGAAAAACAAATTGATTCCTTCTTCTTAGTAGGAAACAAGTTTCAGTTTTAGTTTCTAGTTTATTGTTTCCATATTTCGCATGATGCAATTATTATTACGATATAAAGCAATACTTGAAAATACATTTTTGCAGCCAATTGCAAACAGTGCTTGCCAGTTTTTTTACGCATAATATCAGTGACAAAGGGTTATTATGATATGTAAAAGAATATATAATGCTAAACAAATCTGAAAGAAAATAAATTTATGAAAAAGTGGGAAAATTTCCAAACCAGATTACTAAAGGCCTCTTGGCAGACACCACTCGCTCTCGCGTTCCCTCGGGTTTTCGCGATTAGTCTCTTTTTAGTCGCTCGGCGTCAGATATAAATATCATCATCAGACACGAGCTCTTGTCTAAAGGCTATGATAAATCAAGCTTGTTATCCGTCGTGTGATCGACCTATAACCTTACACTCGCGTGGCAAATTGCGTCCAAAGTTCGACTTGTGAACACGTGTTATATAGGCAATGGCGAGCTGGCGACCTTTTTTGATCAAATTACGGTGGGTGAACTTTCAAATGGAATGGGACATGAGGCCTCAAATTAAATGGTGTATTGCCCTATAAGTGCCAAAACATGGTTCGGTTGCTCGGAAATCTTTTTTTTTTAATTCTTCTTCTTTTTCTCCCTCTTTGGGCTGATATTTCTCATTTTTGAATTCTTTAATACATTTTTTACTCTAAAAAATGGTTTAAAAAAAATAATTAAAAAGCCGACCGTAGATTTCAAGATTTTTAGGGCGGTCGCAAGGGCAATACACCATCTCTTTTTCTAGGCCTGAGGGTTCCACTGAAATAGCTAGTGTCAACGTATGGCGCGGGTGGATGTGCTTTTCGTTTAAACAAAAAACGTTTCTTAATTTTAAATTTTTTTTTTTTTTAACGATTTTGGGGGTAAAAATCCATAGGCTAACATGTTTACTGGATTCTGACGATAGAGGGCGTAGTTCAATGAGACTAATCGGAGCTATAATTATGTGTTGCTCGTGATAAACTTTTATCCAATCTTCATGTTATCTTTTGTTATCATTAATAATGAACAATTATTTAAAGATTCACAGAAATAGGATCATGTTATAAATTAAAAGTATCAGTTTATAATGATTTAAAGAAGACAAAAGTCATAATTTCATGTTTATGAAATACAGATTTTGTTAATACAATCATCGTTTAAAGAAATATAAGGCTATGGAAATAAAATGCCAAATGTATGAACAAGCCATTTCAGCTATAATTATTCCTACTGTTTAAATCAGATTGCATTATAACAACCTTTTTTTTATTGATGGTATAAGATCTACAAAATCGTTTAAAAAGCGATTACAATTTTCAACTGAATCGAATAAGAATTGATTGAGCTTAACGAACTAAACCCCTCATCTCATACGACATACAAATACAAGCAGGGGCGTCGCTAGAGGGGGGTGGCCGATGGGGGTGTGGGGATGCCTAACTTTGGCTTATCAGATTATCAAAAGTCGAAGATCGTGAAAAATTTGCATGAATCTCGTTCCTCCCTCTTTTAACTGTGGTAAAGTCTGACAATGAGGAAATATTACCAAAATGATGAATTATAAACGCCTCACGAGTTTCCAATCGAGCTTCTCAATATTTATTCAATTATTGGCCTGAACAAAGCAGAGCACCAGCAAAGAGGGAAAGATGGAGAAAAAGGGATTCAAACCTATTCATTATTGTTGACACAGTTCCGATTATGTTTAATGAAAATATTTTTGAGGAAAAATACCATATTGTGAATTTAGGCGTACGTCATTGGACGGTTTCTCACTCCAATCGTAGCTTTTCACTCTGGCTTGTAACACTATAGCTGTGAGGCTAGATACAACATTTTTTTTCTTCACATCACCATGTGTAAAGCTCACCCAGTGTAAAGTTTCAATTTTGAGGGGAAAAAAATGATGCCAGGATTAGGGTCTTTAAAATGTAATGTTGTGCTGTACAGATTGTATACTTCTTTAGATCTAGAGAATGATACGTTTTCTTTATCATTGCGATTCGTAGACGAAGAAGCCTAATAATTGAAACAAATCTTATCGGTACAATCAAATTGCAACTAATCATTTGCTTTATAGATTTTCTGATAATAATAGTAAACATTTCGAATGCCCGATGTGTGTCAAAATCGACGCTCCTGGTACAATGGTGACAAATAAAGTATACTTGTTGTGGGCATACAGCTGTATTATAGGCGTTTAGTAATTCGAGAAAAATAGAAAGCAAATAAAGACGTGTTTTTCATCAAATACCTCAATTACCTTCTCAGTGATGATTTTCCCTTATTAAAAACTAAAGGTTTTGTTATTGAATTTAAAAAATCTTTCTAAATAAAAAGCTTGGTGCATGGTACATTTATTGTAAAATTTCGCCTGATACGTGACATTGTCGAGACAATTTCTAGACCATGAAAGACTTAACTACATCATGCCTAGAATATATTCATTTATATATATCTTGTACACTTTCGTAAGGAATATTGTACTTCAAACGGCAGGAATAAACATCATCTTTCAACTACCTACACTTATTCTTTGGAGTCAGTATTTAAGCCGAAACGTGCCCCTCAACCATTGTGTTATTATGCCCCTTTCGAAGTAAGACCCTAAAAGGCCCTTGAAAGTATTAATACTACTTCTCCGTTTATCATTTTATTATGTTTCTATTTCTTATTTTTATTATCAGCTTCTAATAGTTTAGTTTTCGGAATAAGTTATTTACCCTGCCCCTTGTGATTCGCCTTTGAACCCGGAAATATCACGGCCATTGTAGGTTAATATTTCCGAAGCCAAAGCAGATCTAAAAAGGAAACATTGATGTTTTTCCCTCTCATAATATGCATGGGCAGACTTCATTATTCTGGCTTCAAACCAAATGAATGAATTATTGTGGATGGGCCGATTCATTTTGTATCACATGAATACAATGTCAATGTTTAATTTAAACTATACTATATACTTTATAATATATGCAATACCTCGTTTATAGAGGCTATATAGGGCGATATTCCCCGACGTACATTTACAGCAAAATGATTGTGAGTGGGTTGATATTGTGTTCAACTCCTTGGCTTTCCTGTGAAATGACTCGCGTCTTTTTCTTGCACACAAAATAAGTTCTGGCGACAGTTGGTCTGTGATCATTTTTTTCAATTAGCCAGATTGCTAAATTTAACCCAGGGGCAAATAAGTACCGAACGCTAACCCTAATCTTAAACTAAACCCATTTCAAACTCCATCCCTAAATCTTAATCGTTGACGAATAAAGCCCGGAGTAGATGGCAATTTACCCTGACGATTTTGAGTAAATTATCTAGCACATAATGACCATTCTGTGATATCTTTCACTATGTTCACAATACTAGCCTTGACTATATTTCTGGTAGCTATCTTGAGATGATCTTGCTAAAAAAAAATAGACTTAACTCCTAATATAAAGAAACAGCATCGAAATTATGTGACTTAAAAGCCTCCTAAATTTGTAGTAGGTTCTATGTGATATGAATCTGTTCAATTAGCCAACGTAATACATGTACTATCAACAATGTGAACAGCGCGGAGCAAACTAGAGGTATCTTCTTACATACGTCTTTATTGC